TTCATTTTATCATTGTTCAGTAGTAGTATATAGTTACATAATTGTGTTGGGTTTTTTTTGCTATTATTTGACCTTGCGAAACTTGCATAGAAATCCTAGCAGCTTTTTGTTGATTCCTTATGGATTTATTCATGTCATCTGTGAATAAAGTCAGTTCAAATCTTGCATTCTTTTTTCTTGTCTTCCTTCACTGACTAGGACCTCAAATATAATGTCAAATAAAAGTGGTGACAGCATGTCTGTCCTTGCCTTTTTCTCTTCTACCAGTGTTCAGCCTTCTACCATTAAGACACATGAAGGATTTTCGTACAGATGTCCTATATGAGGATGAGGATATTCCCTTCTGGTTCTAATTTATTGAGATGCTGTTGAGTTTTGTCCAAGAATTCTTTTCTGCATCTATTGAGGGGTTTTTTTTGGCCTCCTTTATTAAGTGGCAAATTACATTTATTGATTTGTTTTCAAATTTTATTTTTATTAACTTTTAGTTTTTTTATTTTAGGTAGGCTCCACACTTAAAGTGGGGCTGACACTCATGACCCTGAGATTAAGAATGTCATGCTCTACCAACTGAGCCAGCTAGGCACCCCATCAAATTTTAAACCCATTGTACATTCTTGGGGTAAGCCCCATTTGATCATGATATATTATCCTTTTATATATTAGTGGATTCCATTTGCTAATATTTTATTAAGGATATTTGTTTTGGGGCACCTGGCTGGCTCAGTCAGGGGAGCGTGTGGCTCTTAATCTCAGGGTTGTAAATTTGAGCTCCACACTGGGTGTAGAGATTACTTAAAAATAATATATTTTTAAAAAATATTTGTGTCTATATTTATGAACAACATTGGACTGTACTTTTCTTGTCATGTTTTTATCTGGTTTTAGTATTAGGGTCATGCTGGCCTCATAAAATGAGAAGGAAAGTATTCTCTCCTTTTCTGTTTTCTGAAACAGTTTGTGTAACTTTGGTATTTTTTTCTTAAATGTTTTGATAGAATTCATGTGAAGCAATCTGGTTAACTGCAAGTTAAATTTCTTTAATAGATTTAGGACAGTTTGGGTTGTTTTTCTTAAGAGAGCTTTGTTTATGTCTTTCAAGGAGTTTTTCCATTTTGTCCACATTGTCAAATTCATTGGCATAGGGTTGTCCATAATATTTCCTTTCTTCCTCTCCTGTAAAATCTGTAGTAAACTCTGCTGTCTTATTCCTGATATTGATAATTTGTGTCTTCTTCCCCTTTTCTTTGTGCAGTCTGGTTAGAGGTTTAATATTTTTATCCATCTTTTTCAAGAACCAGCTTTTGGTCTCAACTTTTCTCTATTGTTTACCCACTTTTGTATTTTATTGACCTCTGTTCTTTATTTCCTTTCTTCTGTCTGTGTGGGTTTTAATTTGCTCTTTTTCTAGTTTTGTAAGGCAGAATCTTACATTATTGATTTAATTTTTTTTCTCACTTCTCTGTATACCTCTTAAGGTGTCTTCACACAAGCACCACCCACCAAATTCTGCTTGCAACTCACTGGTGCAGAAATTAGTATTGTGGTCACTGCCAACTGCACAGGAAACTGGGGAATACGGTCTATGGTGGGTACAATATTAGGGTGCTGATATTATGGGAAAAGGGAAGAATGGATATTGGATAAGCAATGAGAAGCCTCTGCCACATCTGGTAAATATGTCTCCATATCTTCAACATTTGTATGTGCTCACATTTTAGGCATGTATCTTATAAGCAGTAAGTAGCTAAACTTTGTTTTAATCTATCTGGCCAATAATATCTGTTTATGTTTACTGTGATGCTATCATACTTGGATTTATTTGTAATATATACTTTGTGCTTCTATGTTCATTGTTTTTTTTTTCATTTTTTCCTCTATTTCCTTTTTCCTTTTTCCTCTTTTATTACATTAAGGTTTCTTTCCCCCCTTTCCTTTCTACTGGTTTGGAACTGTAGAGTCTCACTCTACTTTTTAGCGTAGTTATCCTTAATTTTTTAACAATCATGCATGACCAGTTTAAAATTAATGCTATATTTCTCTCTCCCAGACAATCCACGGAACTTTCCTGAGCACCCTTTTCTTAACCGACCTGTTGTTATCATGTAGTGTTTTAGCTTCAACTTGTTTTAAACCCACTCAATACTAGTCATTACTAGTACTATTTTATTTTACAATAATGCTGACTTGGATTTGTCTTAGTTGACCAAGTTGCTTGCTCACCACTGCTGCTCATATCCACTTCTTCCTTCTCAATTCGATTGTCAGCTTTTTGAGACCTCATTTAATAGGTCTGGGAGGAGCGAACTTACTTCGGCTCTGCCTGGAAATGTCTTTATTTTACCCTCATTCCTTCATGGTAGTTTGGTTCTGTATAATTCTACACAGAGAGGTACTTTCCCTCAAAACGTTGAAGACGCCATTCTAGTCTTCTGGTTTCTGACGTTGCTGTTGAAACCCTCAGTCTGTCTGCCTATTGTTCCTTTTCTGGACATCTGTCTTTCCTCTCTGGTTTATTTTAAGATAGCCTCTTTGTTTTTGGTATATACCATTTCACTATGGGATGTTCAGATGTACATTTACTTTTATTTATCTATTCAGGACCTAGGTTTCCTGGACATGAGGATCTGTGTCTTTGGTTGTTTCTAGAAGCTCTTGGTTATCACTTTGCACATTGTGTTGTTTCTAGTCCCTTACTGTGATTAGATGCATCTTAGATCTCATTCTGTCCTCTGTATCTCTCAGCCTCTCTTTCATATTTCGTTCCTCTTGTCTCTGTGCTATGTACCGGGTCGTTTCTTCACAGCATGGTTCCAGTTTACTGATACTTGCTTTAGCTGGTGTATTCTTTTTAACCATTTGTTCAGTCTAGAAGCTGCATTTGGTTCTTGTTATTTCTCATAATACCTTGTTGTTATGCTTCTGATTCCTACTTCTATGTTTATTTGACTTTCATCAACCTAATGTCATAACTGCTAGACTGTTGTTCTTTTCTCTCTGGCTCTTGGCTGCATCGGTCTACAGTCGTCTCGTTTCCTTCCACTCACTCTAGCAGGACCGTGCCTTGGACATTTTGTCACTTTACACGGTGAGGTGTCTTCGTGGTTCCACTGTTTTCTCCAAGAGAATTCTGTGTGAGGAAAATTGACAGCACCCCAAGGGATTGGTTTTGTGCTTGTGCCTGCTGTTGGCCCCAGGAGTCACCAGCCTGGGATCTTATACGGGTCTGTTGGCTTCGCAGTGCCCACCAAGTGAATTCAAGCTTGGTGTGAGTGGCAGGTACAGCCATGGGTTTTTAAGTTCTCACAGGAGACTTCTTTTATCCCACATGCATTTCCTTATTCCCTTCCTTCAGTGGAGAGGAGTTCCTGGTGGGTGGGTTTAGGATTCTTCCGTCCCCCGTCCTCGCCCCTGACCCTGGAGCTTCTTCTTGAGGTGCACCCGTGGAGGACCCCAGCCCCATTCAGTGGGCCCAGTGACCGCACGCCTCTCTGGAGCCCAGGCCTGTCTCCTGTCCATGAGCACATGTTAAAACCCAAGGCCGAGGCTGTTTTCGGGCACATTTTCCCTTCAGCAGCTACAGCACCGGTGCTTGTGCGTGCTGCCCTCCTTTCTGGTGCACGGGGCCTCTTCCTTCTGTCCTGTTCAACCAAACAGTGAAAACATCGGAATACATTTTATCCAGCATTTCTAGGCATTGGTGGCTACAGAGTTTCAGTTTTTGCTTGTCTCCTTCCTGTCTGAGCCAGAAACTCTAAATTAATATCCCTAAGCCTCAGTTCCCTCCTCTGTAAAGGAACGGCCCCTCCGTTGTGGGCTTGTTGTGAGGGGTTAAAAGAGGAAAGCAGGTGAAATGCTTAGCATAGGGCCTGGCACACGGTAGGAAGTCAATAAATCTGAGTATCATCACTGATACAATAGAAAATGTGGAAAGTTTGGAAGAGTATCAAGAAAAGAAACACCGTACTGTCCACTGAAAATTAGGGTTCACACTTAATAGAATTCTAACTTTATTCATATGTATATCCACACGTGTAAGACAAAAGTAGTACTGTACATACAACTTTGCATCTGCTCTTCTCATTTGATTAGTGTCTTATTCGGGTTGGGCCACCATAACAGAGTACCAGAGAGTGAAGGACTTAATGTGCATCTATCTTGTCATAGTTGTAGAGGCTGAAAGTCTGAGACCAGGGTGCCAGTGTGGTCAGATTTGGGTAGGATCATCTTCCTAGCTTGCAGATGGCTGCCTGTTCTCTGTGTCCTCACACAGCAGAGAGACAGAGACAGAGAGAAATCTCTGGTCTCCTTTATAAGGGCACCAGTCCCATCATGAGGGCCCAGCTCTCATGACCTCATCTAACCCTAATTACCTCCCAAAGGCCTCATCTCCAGATACTATCACATTGGAGGTTAGGGCTTCACATAAGAATTCGGCAGGGGCACATGGATGGCTCAGTTAAGCATGTGACTTTCGGCTCAGGTCATGATCTCACGGCTTATGGGTTTGAGCCCCACCATTGAGCTCTGTGCTGACAACTCAAAGCCTGGAGCCTGCTTCAGAATCTGTGTTTCCATCTCTCTTCCCCATACATTTTCCCTCTCTCTCTCTCTCTCTCTCTCTCTCTCTCTCTCTCTCTCTCTCTCTCTCTCAAAAATAAACATTAAAAAATGTTAAAAAAAAAAAAGAATGTGGGGGACACAATTTAATCTGTAGCCATCAGACTTCTCTAACAGCTGCCCCACAGCTTAGAAGCCTGTCTGTGATCTTTAACAAGAATGGGATTATCAGATTCACAGTCTTCCGTTTGAATCCACCTCAACAGGAAGGGCCAAGGGCTTGATAACACAATGAGGTCCAGAGAACCTGTGAAGTGTGTGTAGTTGGGGTTTGGGGAATAAATTCTGAACGTTTCTATTAGACACCATCCCCCAGACAGGTGCCAGGCCTGAGTGAGCCCATCTTTTCTTCTCCTGCCCCTACATCCCTCCTTCTGCAGGTCATGATGGGATTGGAGCTTTCTCCTCCAGTCACTTTCCAGCTCCGGGCTGGCTCTGGACCCGTGTTCCTCAGTGGCCAGGAATGTTATGGTAAGTTGGAGCTTGGACCTGAGGCGGGTCTGACTATAGTGCCTAGCACAGGGCCAAGGGAATAGGTATTCAAACGCTGGATGGATTCTTGAATTACTAGAGAAAATCTCCAAAGGCAACGTGATGGCCGGTAGCCTGGAATGGAAGTTCTCCTTTACCTCCCCGCCATGTCCTCTGTGGGCTGCAGTCCTCTTGCCTGTACCATGAGGGTAGGTGTAGACTTGGTTTCATCTTCAAAGAGCCACTGTGAGGAATAAATGGGATACTCAGGGAGAAGCAGTTTGCATGATAGCTAGTACCAGCCCTCATGTAAAATGTTAGGTGCTATGAGGTATGTAGCTGGAGGAGCGATATAGGCTCTATCAAATCACTGTGCTATTGACTCTTCTCATATCCTTCTCAGCCCAGTTGTGCCTCTGTATCAGGGTACAGTTACTCAAAAACCCTGGCAGGCTCCACTTCCCTTAGGATGAGGTCTAAATTCCTTAGCTGCTGTTTCCATTTCCTCCCTTCCCTTGTGCTCTCTGCCCACCCTCACCCTCCTCTGAATCCTTCCCAGCCAGAGCCACAGCTTACCACCTCACCTGCCCTCCTCTACCACCCCAGCTTTCTGGGGTCCCGGACCCCTCACTCCATCTGAGCTTCTACTTTGTCAGGCCAGAAAGGGTCTCTAGGAAGTGGCAGGTGTTGGCTTCCCCAGGGCAGCTCTGAGAGCAAGACCGATCATGGAACAGGAGCTAGGCCGAGACCTGGAGCTCAGCATCCCTGCTCCCTTTCCATACCCTCACAGACACTTCAGACCTGTCCTGGGAGGAGGAGGAGGAGGACCTGGAGGAGGAGGAAGAGGAGGAAGATGACAGCGATGATGATGATGATGACGATGATGATGTTGATGTAGATGTGTCCCTAGAGGAGGAGACCCCTCTTAAACAAGTCAAGAGGCTAGCATCCCAGAAGCAGACAGGTGTTGCCAAGGTGAGGGAAGGGACACCCCCCCCACACACAGGCTCCTCAGAAACCTGGGCCAGGCCTCCCGAGTTGAGTGTGAGTGTACAGAGGCCTGGGGTCCTGCCAGGTGCCCAGCAGGAGTCTGCTGGCCCTGGACCCTGCCCTAACTGTCCCCATGCTGCTTGTGTTTGCTTCCCAGAAAAAAAAGGTGGAAAAAGAAGAGGAGGCAGTGAGGTAACTCTTTCCATCTGTTAACATGGCCAAAATCTTACAGCTGAAGCCTATAGGGTTAGAAAGGGTCTGGCGTGTGTGCATGTTTGTGACCACACAGATGTGCTGTCTCTGATGGCCGGCACAGCCTTTTTTGGAAGGCATCAAAGTATTCTTATCTTCTGACCTAATTCCACTCATGGTAACCCCTTCCCAAGGACCCCATCCAAAATACAGGTAAAATCATATGCACTAAGAAACTGATCCCTGCATTATTCAAGTAATAGTGAAAAATGGAAGCATTCTAAGTGTCTACCAATATAGTAGATTAAGCTGGGTCACATTTTCCCAGGAGAATGTGACATAATGCCTATGAAGAATATAGCATCCTGGAAAGTGTTTGCAGAATTTAAAAAGAACAGGGTCTTAAATCATTTTCATGTTATTTCACATGTTTTTAGAAGAAAAAGCAAAAAGTCCTGCAAGGAAACACATCAAAATGTTAATTCCGGTGGGAGGTAAAGAAACAAGTGATTTCTATTTGCTATATTTTGTGCAATGTAGTTAAATATTACTTTTATAATGTAAGAGACCTATTTGTGATAAATAAAAGAAAGCAGGTGGAAGTCTAACAAGAAAACACCTCTTGTTAAAATAAGAGAGAGTCAGAATGGTCCCAGCAGGTGACGGGTGGAGAGGTGAATTCTGCAGCCTCCCAGCTCTCCATATCACAGCCCCTGGCTTTCCTGGAAGTGGCCAGGGCCCTGCATTGCAGTGTAGGCATTAGGAGGTTCTGGGCTACTGGTGTCCTGCTGAGCTCTCTCTTTCTCACCCTCATCCCTTCTCCTGGCCTCCCCACCCTATTCCAGACCCAGCCTTAAAGACAAGAGCCCTGTGAAAAAGGTAAGTACCAGGAGAAGGGGCTGGTCCTCCTGGGGGCAGAGGGAGGGAGTGGGACTCTGGTGCCCTCCCTTCTCTCCATAGGCCAAACCCACACTCAAACCTAAAAAGCCAGGATCCAAGAAATGAGGAGCCAGGAGTGGCCTGGCTGCAGTGATGGAGAGAGAGCCAGCTAGAACACCATACAGAGTGGCCTTCCTGCGGGTGTGCTGCAACCCCATGTTCCCCCCACCCAGCCTCTCTCCCTCTGAGTCTGAATGTGACGGAGCTGTTGGGGGCAACACAAGGGGCCCACACTCCAACTATCAAGTTTCGGCAGGACCTGGAGGGAAGAACCCTGACCTCAGAGCCCCAATAAAGTTTGCTTTGCCGGGACCTTGTTTCTGCCATCTGTTCCAGAGGGCCTGTCCTTATTGCTGGCTGCAGTGAGCCCGTGTGCCCAGCAGAGGGAGGCCATGTGCCAGCACACCCCTACCTGGTGGCTGACCCGCCACCTGGACTGAGGCTGAGGCACCCAGCCAGCCAGCTGGGCTCTGTTCTGTTCTTTCATCTCCCTCTCATGTCCTCAAACTCCCACCCATTCCAACCCCCCCAGCTTTGGGACAAAAAGCCAAGGGTCTCAACCCCCTGCACAGCTTCAACTTTGTGCCCTTGTCCTGAGGGAGGGAGCTCCAGACATTGTGGGTCTTCCTGTGTCCACACTCCCTTCTGGCTGGTTTTCCAGGTAGAGAGTCAGAAGGCTAGAGCTGCCTGCCCCCCACTGGGAAGGACCTTAGTCCCTGTCAGACTAGCCTGGGGATCTTCTCTCCTGGCCCTAATCACGTGTTCATTATCAAATGCACAGACCAGGACATCTATTGGAACCTCGGAAGTTCAATGCTAATGCTGCTCTCCCAGGCTTGCCTCTCCTGTTCAGGGTGAGCTCCTGTTCATTTGTGTGAAGATCTGTGTCAAGCAGGAGCCCAGAGGCCTGGACCTTCAAGGAAGCCCTCCCAGACAGGGCAGATGAGGCAGGCTTTGCAGAAGCTATTGAGGGTCTCTTACAGGAGGTGGACAGGTAAACACTTTTAACTCTCATGCGAGGGTTCACCCAGGGCAATTCTCGGAGCCATGGGAACAGGGCTCAACAAATTGTTAGGGTAAGGCAATAGGGGATTGGCAAGGGGACGAATGACCCATTGGGTGGCTCTGGGCTCCTGCCCTCTCCCAGGCCTGCACAGCCACTTTGGAGCCTGGCTCACCCATTGTGACACACAGATAGCCTCCCACTGGGGGTTATAGTTACAGGGCCTCCACTGGGCTTCTCCCTGGCCCTCCTCTACACCCCCACTGGCCAAACCTAAAGTGGGCCAATGGGGAAATGGCCCTGTCCTCTCTCCAGGATCCCTAGGCATGGGTCCCAGAAGGTTGGAGGTCTTTGAATGCCTGCACGGGAAGGTCAGCAACCAGGCTTGCATGTTCCTGTTCAGCTTCAGTTTCTTTTAATGCCAGAAGAGACTGAGGACGGTAGCTTAGCATTCTTGCTGCTTGCTTTCTACATCCCAGGAGACAGATGTGGGCACCGTCCCACCCTCGAGCAAATGAGAATGAGCCACTGACCTCAGGTCACCCAGAGAGCGACAAGGCACATGGGTTCACATCAGGCTCCAGGTGGGCAGCGACCATTTACCATGGCCTCATGCCACAGTGACACAGGGTAAACAAGACAAATTCTTCACCTTCAAGCCACCTACAGTCTAGTGGAAACACAAAAGCCAACAGCAAAATTTCAGTTACTGTCAAGTGCTTTGGAGGAAGTGAGACAGCACTTCTCCAGCCTGGAATTAGCCTATTAGGAGATCAGAGAAAGTCCCTCAAAGGAGAAGACTGACAAGAAGAGGGTGGCAGGCTCCATGAGTAGCTGGCAGAAGGACACTCCCAGGAGCAGGAACCGAGCAAAGCAATGGGCCTCAGGCAGAGCAAGCAGAAAGAGAGAGGATTAGCAGGATTTTGGTAATAACATGCTGGAAGCTAGGTGCTGAGCGCCTTCTGGGACTCACTCCATAAAGCCCCATTTCTCAGACCTGGAAAACGAGGCACAGAGAGGTGAAACAACTTGCCCCCAAGGCCACAGAGCTAGTGGAGGAGGCAGGGTTCACCACCAGGTTGTCTGGACCCACGGCTCTTATCTTGAACCACTCTGAAATGACTGAGAGAGACGGACAGCACAGCAGCCAGAGTCCTACAAAGTCTCATAAACTGAAAATAATAGTTAAGAATAAGGTCCACGGTGTAACCCGCACCTTGGGAGGGGCAGCCCCCAGCCAGTTATAGCAAAGCACAGATGCACACAGATACTTCTTCCCTTCATCTCACCCAGGCAAGTGCCCCAGCAGCCTAGCTCAGCCATAGCTCTGTACATAAGGGCACGCAACAGCTAAGCCGTTCCTGACTTGATGTCCAAATGCTGGCAGGCAATGGGGATCAAACAGCAAGGATGGTAGGTGCTCCAAATTTTAAGAGTCCATTTGCCTTTTGCCCTGCCCCAGCCCCAGCCCCAGCCCTTCTGCTTTCCAACAGGAAAATGGTGGGCTGGGGTTTGTAGCAGGTGGTGACAAGTGGCAGGTCCGCAGGTGGGCTCAGTGTCTGCACCAGCTGGGCTGTTAGAAGGAGCAGGCGTGAGACGCCTCAGTTGGGGGGTGTTGAACTTGGCACTAGGGGGTGGGGATTAACCAACCAGCCCAGGCTACTTCTCACTTCCTTTATCACCTCCTGCCACCTCCCCCTATAAATGTTAATGAAGCCTGCTATTCTCCCTCCCTCTCCTCTAGTCAAGGGAGTCAAAGTTTAGGTCAACCGAGTCTGGACCATATAAGAAGGTCTATGCCCCTCGTTTCCATTCTTGTGGCACTTGATACTTTTCATGGAGTGTCCATCTCAGTTGATACTCATGGTGGCAATTTTGACAGCAGTGATAATAGCCATTTCCTTTTTACAAATTAGGAAGCTGAGACCAGAAAAGTGAAGGGACTTGCCATAGGTCGTAGAGGCCAGGGAACGGGGATAAAATCCATGGAACACTCTTCATGCTGCCTCCCCTCTTGGAGCCCAGCACTGGCCTTCCATGGGGATAAAAGCACAAGCTGAGTCAGAAAGGCAGGCCTGCAGGTGCACAATGGGAAGGGACAAGGAGCAGATGTCACACCATGAAACAGGCTATCCAGCCATGCCCCAGAGGCCCCTGGCACCAGCCCCTGGCTGAGCCCCAAGGCCAAGCTTGACTGCTGGCATCTGTTACCATGGAGACCCAGGCCTGGCTGGGGGGCTGGCCACTGACAACAGGCCCCTCCCCCACTGATAGGAACCAGGCACTCAGGCTCAGAGGCCTGGAGTCCAGACCTCACTAGATGGGGCTCCCGCATCTGCCTCCTTATTTCATTCCACCCCCCAGCTCACCCATCCACCCCAGAACCTCAAGCCTGAGCTATCTCCTTCATGCATCTGCTCTTACCTGTCATCCCAGGACTGAAAGTGGGAGGAGGTAGCCTTTAGTACCCCACCTGGGAGCTAGTTGTTGGTGGAGATGTGGGTGAGGTCAAAGGCCCACCAAGAATAGAGCCAGAGCCAGCACCAGTTCCAGAAGTAGATTTGGGGATTTCCGCAGAAGAGGCAGAGTTCAAATCAAGACCCCAAACAGAACAAATATGGAAGATGGAAACGATCAGGAGCATCAGCCTGAGCAAAGCAGAGCTGTGGGACGGTCTAGGGCATGCTCGGACAACGACGAGCACTGGATTGGGAGTCTGGGCACCTGGCACCTTGTCTGAGTTGTGCCACTGACTAACTAGCTGTGAGACCCTCGCTGGGCCTCATCAGTGAGTGAGGAGGCTGGACCAGATGAAGAATCTCTAAGACCCCTTCCAGTTTTGACATCCCTTCTATTTGATTCCAAGCCTGGACTCTGCCAGTTACAGGGAGCTACCCCTGCACTCTCCAGACCAGCTCAGGTTCAGCAGGGCCTTGAGTCCCAGAGGCCTGAGGGGTGGGGGGTGGGGCTAGGAGCCCAAAAGCTGGAGGTGGCCAGGAGGTAGCCTTGGGGCTTGTCTGGGGGAGGGGGGAGGGGTGGCAGACAACTTTGTGGATTGATCTAGCTCTGGAAGGTGAGGAGACTTGGAGGTGAGAGTTTCGCCCTCCTGCTCATCTCTTTAGGTAAATACCTCCACATCCAGCATTTCCCTTTCTCTTTCCATCCTGGAGGCACTGAGACCTGCAGGGAGCCCAGAGCTGAGGGAGCTCCACTCCCTACACAGAAGACTTCCCTCAGAGATCCCTCTAAGCACATGCCCCCTTCCACAGCCACCATCACCCACCTTCTGTAGGGAAGGAACCATTAGAGTCCCTGGTCACCTAGCTTCTGGGACCTTAGGTACTGCAGCCCGGAGGGCATGGACACAGTGGCAAGGCTCCAGACACGATCCATGTGGACCTTAGGAACCTAGTTCTGCCATTCACTGGCTGGGCCATTCTGAGCTAACTACCCCCCATGCCCCCCCCAACCCCTGCCCCATGTGCTTTAGTGTCCTCTGCACAGGGGTCCTAGAATGGGGTCCTACCTGCACAGTACAGAGCAGGGTGGGACCAGAGGCCATGTGAAGAGGTTGGTGGGCACAGGGAGGGAGGAGGCCCTAGGGATGGCTGCTGCCCCAGAGAGGAGGGTGAGTGAGGCCCAGAACATATGACACACTTGACGTCTGCTAAGCCCAGTTATCTCCTTTGGTCTGCCGGCATCCTGAGGCACTACTGCCCCCATCTCTCAGGCAAAACTGCCGAGGCCCAGAGGAAAGTAGCTTGTGCCAGTGCACCAGCTCCTCTGAGTCTGTCTCTTCCCGGATGTCAGGCCAGCTCTCAAGATTCCATCGCGTCCTCCTCCCACAGCTGCACCTTCCTGCCCCTCCCTGACCCCCAACCTGCAGCACCCACTATTTGCTGCCGTTGGGACAGCCCTAACACCTCCATCCCAGTGGCCAGACAGCAGAGAGGGGGAGCAAGGGGTGACAGAGGCAGGGGAAGCAACCGCTCCTAGCCAAGCCCACCGCCTGCCCCCTGGAGGGAGGCTCCTCCTTTTAAGGCTGCTTCTGGGAATTTCCACC